ATAGTCCGCCCCCTCCCACTTCCCCACCCTTTTAATGTCTTGTCCTTTTTAATCTGACGGTCTGCACGCTTTTTAATCTGCCTTGTAGAATAAACAACTCGGTATATATTACATACATATATGCATTCGCAGGGGCTCATTTTCTCTGATGCGCTGGCCACTCTCGGGCACGTAGTCTGACTCCTTGCTTTTGCACATATTGGGCTTACACCCCCCTACAGTAGGTGCCGCAACCCCGGAAATATGCTTGACGAATCGAAAGCCAGCCCAAATGTATCGACCAAAACTGCCACTTAAATAGTATACGACCTTCTGTTAAATGAGAACGCAATGCTAGTGGTGGAAATACGTTGGTCAGGAATGGGAGTGTGTACAGAGAAAACAGAAATACCTTTGACCCGATTGTGAAGGGTTCGACAGCCTCGGTGGAATTCAAATCCCCTAACATCAGGAGCTAGGCTTAGGTGGAGCCAGCGCTCTATCTGAACTCGAGGCCTCACCAAGGACCGTGAATTTAATCACATTTGGGTCAGATTGCCCGTCGAGCCTACTGCAACGTATGAAATCCACCGAATCTGATTCAGTGTGCTGTCTGTCCAGGCATGATTCCCTAAGTAATCAGACTGGAATCTACCAGATGACTATCAGACAAGTTTGAGTACCGAAGTCGCGAAAATTCGTGTCAAACGGGCGAACTTAGTTCTTCGAACCCCGTCCGCGACTGATAGCAGTAAAACAGCCCAAGCGCAACGTTTAAAAATCCTTTTTGCTTACAGCTGAAATGCCCTCCGAGAATCACTGTGGCGCATCACGTACGGCCAAGTGCCTAATGGTCGGTTATATATTACCAAATATTCGGAGACTGTTTTCCTGGAGTAAACTAAAACGAGGCAAGGGCTGTGAAGTGCACGGGACTCAACGGCGGCCTAAAGTCTCATGATCTATTATTCAGCTACCCGCGGTCAATGCACCATAATAACACGAACCGTTCTATGAGAAGACGACGTAGGGCGACCAAACGTGATAGGTGCATAAAGAACAGAACGTTGATCAGACATGTGAGGGGAAGGAAAGCAAGTTAAGATTACAGCGAGAACTCGTCAAGCGTGGTTACAACTGCACAGTACGTAGTCGTGGGGGGGGGAGGAAGTGAGGTAAATTCCGCCGCCGACCCTTACTATGGCATTGCGAGGTGAATCACCTGACCCAGCTGCTTACACCGTTCTGGTTTTGTCCTCCGTATTGTCACGGCTTCAGGAAGGCGTAGTAAAGGTCCAGTCGTCGCCCCAAGTGGGACCGCAAATGAGGTCGTTGGGGTCACCACATGGCTGACGTTCACCGGGTGTTTCGTAAATGAACTTCTGGGTACCTTATTTTCCACTTTCAGCAGCCACTCCGAGATATGTTCAGTCGACCGGGTTGCCGAGTGCCTTTGCATGGGCTGGATGTATTTGCATTCGCTGCTACTTGTAGACTCTTAGAAACAGTACCGATACAAGCGAAGATGCGAGTTCCAGGAACTAGTTGATCAGAAGAAGAAGAAGCGATCGCTGGAACAAGGTCTTTATTCGCCTGACGCTTCGGATTCTCACTTGAATCCATCTCTGATGATGGATTCAGCGAGAATCCGAAACGTCAGGCGAATAAAGACCTTGCTCCAGCGATCGCTTCTTCTTCTGATCATAGAAACAGTGTCCAGGCGAGACATATCTAGATGGTTTAACTGGGAGCGGCTATATAAATACGAGAATATTGCTCAAGTTGCGAATGCCTACTCGTCCGTTTCTAAATTATCAGCTAACGGGAAATAGACTGCACGGTAAGCATCTTATCATATGCACAAAAATTAAAATGGCCGCTCAGCGCTAAGCCATTTTTCGCGACTGGGAAATATTTGCGAATTACAGCAGAACAGGGGCGCATTAAAACAAAGGCGTGCCTGTGGAAACTGTTGCCTTTTTTAGACGTTGGACCTCACATTTACGAATCAGACTTTCAAGGGGAAAAGATGGCTCTGCTTTTCTGAGAATGGAATGCTGATCCACATCCTGCTTAAAATGAATTACGCGGGCAAAAAAGAACCACTTTGAAAGTCGATATAGGTTTTTTGAGAGAACTTTCTCTTTTATATTATTGGCACCTTGTAGAAAAGCACGCACTGGTACACAAATGTGGTCCAGAACAGTTATTAACGTAGGAAACTGAATGTGAGGTAGCGTTGATTTCCACTGTAATTCGTGTGCTTTCTCCTTAGCAAAATTACCTAGTATCCCAGCCTGCATGTGAGAAGGGTTATTTCCAGAGCAAATTATGGCGGGAAGGTGAAATTTAAAGTGTACAAGTGCCCTAAAGTGAGTATCTAGGTTTCCGTCGCCAAGTTTCCTGCGTTGCCTCTGGTACCGTGCGCCTACACCTTTTTGTTAATTCACTGTCGACGCGTTCATAACTTAGATTTCTGTTATAGCCGAACTGATTTCGCACGAAGACTTTCTGCGGCACTCGGGTAGTAGTTTTTTTCTTTCGGATGCGCCTTGCAAAGGGTGTTAGACAGTCTCACTTTTGCCGCCTAGTCTTGAGGCTGTCTTGAAGGTAAGAGGCTTGTTTGTACATCTCCGAACTGTTAGGTTCTGCTAACTTCATCCACTACCAGTTAGATATTTCGCGAATTACCAGGTACACCTTCCCGAAACTATCCGGTTGGGTGTGTGTGTGCGTGCAGATTTTCGCAATACGTAATCCTCTCTTCAAGTCTGTCCAAAGTAGATGCATGTGGTCGTCCCGGCATCTCGTTTTGGAACTGTATAATTCAAAATTTCTACAGCATTTGGCAATGAGTCCCCTAAGCAACTGGAGTACGTCGGTAGTTGAAGATAGACCGAAAAGGTTGCTGGCGTGCTGAGTTTTGTGTCATTACCAAAGCTCACACCTGATACCACCATGATTACTTTCGACCTGTTGCCTTTAATTACACTGTGATCTACAGTAGCACGTCCGACGAGCTCCAGTCACTTCTCCCTGCGATGGTCTGTGAACCTCGGCGTGATGTTGATGGGTATATTCAGGCCGCGTTTTAGGTTGCCGTCTGTTGTTTCCATGGGTGGCCCTGAGAGATCACGGGTTGGACGACTGGATACGTGCCTAGGCAATTGACGCCCCCTCAAAGTGCTTAGTATATCCTCGCATCGTTGTAACAAGAACAGAATATCACTTAGAAAGATGTACGCGTTGTTGTTGTTGTTATTGTTGTTGTTGTTGTTGTTGTTGTTGTTGTTGTTGTTGTTGTAATCCAGAAATGACGACTTATGGGTCTCCAGTTTTCGTCCATCTGCGTCGACAACCTAGCAGTCGTGGAGGCAGACCGGATGCACGCGGACCTTTATGTTCTACGGGTCCGCGGCAACTTCTAAAACTAGCGGAAAGTAATCTCCGCGCTAACAGTCTACTAGGAATATAATATCAGGTGCTTGGAAATGTCAACTTTCTGACTGACCAGCCCAGTCTTGCCTTCTGGAACGTGGCTTGGAAACCCCGCGTTTTTACGGTGTTCGCAAATAAACGGCCGATTTTTCGATCTCACTCATTTGTTGAACTACTATATAGGCCGTCTTGCTTGGTGCAGACGAATCAGTATTGTAGTTGAGCTCTGTCATACGACATTCGCGTG